GAATGTTTCCTTTTCGTAAGTGTTACTTCTACTTGGTCTGGATATTGCTGCTTGAATCTAACATATATTCCCTTCTACAGTTAGTAATTATGAACTGCTCTTAAAAGCATACCATTTGATTCAGTAAACATATCTACACCAAGATGGATGCAGAAAAACTATAGCAGCAAGACCATTTAGAGTGTTGCTTAACGATGAGAACACTAAGGCTACTCTCAGTTAGCAGCTGGCTAGGTAGTAATCAGAACACAACAACAGCAATCATCCATGAGATGCCTGGCACCATCTCCAGTTTACTGTAAAAACAGCCTTGAAGACTGTAGCCAACTCTCGGAAAGCTACTACAAAGAGCCAGTGGGTCTCACTCAACAGCTTCTTGGGAATTAATGAATGTACCCGAACGCATCCCTACAGGCTTCAAGTACAATGAGGGGCGGAGGCAACTCAAATGTGGACTCCAAAAGGTCTGCACTATGACCGCGAACAGTGGTGCATATAGGAAACTAAAAAAATGCAAAGGTAGTCGCAATGAGTAACAGTAGACAGTTACTTAAATTTATCGTGAAAAGTGAGGTAAAAAGTCGTCAACTGGCGAAACTATAGTAGAGAAGGACGGTTCTACGATTCACTCACAGAAGATATGACGGGAAGGATGCGTAGAGCACATTGGTGAACAGTTCAACTGCTATTGCGTTGCTCGCTATCCAGTCGGATCCTGAATGGAACATTGAGATACGGTCTCTAACACTTGCAGAAGTCGAGAAAGCTGTAGGAAACCTGGAGTAAGCAAGAGGAGCACGGTCGGGCAGACTAGCTTCAAAAAAACTGAAGAATGGTGGTTGAGGATTATCAGTCAAATTAACTGAACTGTTAACCAGTGTGTGGGAATTACATATAATCGCCTCTGACTGATCTCATCCACCGATTGTCGCAGTCTTCAAAACAACGTCGTAAGTCTCTTCTTTTGATAACCATAGGTGAATCAACTTGGCAAAATAGTGTCTAAAACTCAAGGTCTTACAATCGCTGGACGTCAGAGTGGAACTCAGGAACCAGAAACCCTGGGACAACAGGGAGGCTTCAGACCTGGCCGTAGGTGTATCGACCGAATGTTCACACCGCCAGGTTCTGAAACACAAACATGCTTATCGATGCCCTACACTAGTTCTACTTCTCGACCTGAAGGTGGCATCCAACTCCATCGATCGGGAAGTCTTATGGCAAAGCATCTTATTGAAAAGGATGTTAAGTCAAAACATCACTGTTGAAAACTCAGTATCCGGACATTCGTGGAACTGTCGCTGACTATGTTATGGCAGCAGGTAAGTGGAGCACATTGAGTGGTGTCTGTTTAGAGTGTTGACTCTCTTCCATCTAATTGGATTTTGTTATGGACGTTTTATTTCTGGTCTCCGTCTTGTCGTTTTACTTTACGGGGATTGACCCTGTCACAGAAGACACTTTGATAGACCTGAAGTATGCGGATTACACAGCGCTGTTAGTTGAAGATTTTGACGAGGTGCAGTCTTTCTGACAACTTGATTTATCATTTGAGAATGTTTAGGATGCATTTCTGAGCACCGAAATGGAAATTGTTGATTTATCTAACAAACAATTGAGAGTGAAATGGTTGAGTGCTTCTAATCAGCCGTAGTGGGTCAGTGACTAATGAGATGTTCGCAAAGATACAAAGACTTACTTCGATTTTATTGCCGCGGTCAAATGTGATTCCTTTCTAAGTATTGGTTGTTTCAAGTGATATGGTTGTGAAACTTGGTCATTAGCAGTAGAGAAGATGAAGCAGCTTCAAGTTTCCGACCACGGTATGTTGTTGCGTCACGACGTCATCAACGTAGAAGACTTCTTGTAGTTTTAGGGAGAAAGGGAAAGTCATTTAATGATGTAGTGAGCCTTCCTGGACTCATATGCGTTTAACATGTGTTACCTGTGCGCGGTTGTACAGTGCTGGGTGTAATAGGTTCAGACTGAAAACAGGCTACAGGCGGCCAGAGTAGAACATCGCACCATTTGACGATGTGTTTTGGTGTTGGTCTGAGCCATATGGAAAAACATAGACTTCCCGTTTGGAGTCCACTTTACAATAAAAACCAGTGGTGGGAGACTGATCCTGGTGATGTGGCTCAGAATCGATCTCAGTTGTGCATATATGTCCGCATCTTATTCTCCCTTGCTCTCTCTACATGACTTTCTACAACTTTTGACTGCTTTCTTCTCTATCTCTTTATCTTTCATCTTAGTGCATTCTCGCTTGATCTACTGACATGAGTTGTGGCAACTTGGACCGTTAAACAGTAATCTCAGGTCCTATGCTGATTTGATCTGTTTGACTTTGAACTTAATTCACTCCTACACAATGGAATGAAAGATAAATTGTAATTTATTATGAACTATTCGAAGCTGGTAGACTTAGTTTGTGAGTTTCTTTTAACCAGTCAAAAAAGAAATGTCTTTCCTGTTGATCTTATTACCAGAAAGTTGTAGGCAGTTTATGCTTTCAGTAAATTTCGATAAGTGAAGTTATTGGCGTTCTGAAGCTTTTGTTTTTCAGTTAACAGCCGGATTATTTTGATTCACTTCGGAAACCACCGTAACATTGTTTGTTAATCTTAACTCTTGAGTTTTGAGCCTTTTATTATTGACTTAAAGTGCTCTAAGATGTACAAAACTTCCGAAGAGCTGATTTCAAATAATAATAAAACAAAAACTGAATTAGTAGATATAGCTTATTTTATTTATTCGACTTTTTCGATTCCATAAGCAGCCTTAACTTATCTGCAAAGAAATTCTCCTCTCGGGATGTTAGCTCACTTTTCACAAATATTCCACTCACAAAGGCCAATTTTTTCATGTGTAACTACATTGGAACTAACACTCACATAGTTTGAGTTCCTAAATGAATTACGTCTATGATTCACTTTCGATATGCAATCTTAATTCAGAAATGAGTTTTACAGACATCAAGATGGGGCATTAAATGAGCCTTATTCTAACAAATTGCTTTATACTTAACCTGGAAAACACTGTACCACGTAGATTCAATGTTCACTTATATAAAATATGAACAGATAAAACTTTAATAGTCTGCAATAAGGTGATTATTTATCATCCTCGAATCAGGTTCACAATAAAACCTTATTCATTCATTTAACTCGAGAATAAGGGGTGTCCTCCCCCCCCCCCCTATTTAGAGGGATAACACCACAGAGTTGCTCAAGAATTGATTTTCCGAAAGGATCAAAGCGATCTTTTCCCTATGGATTGCAAACTATCTTCTTCAGCCGAAAATTGGTTCAAAGAAATGTGAGGAATAAATTGTCATTTTAGGCCATGTCTGTGTATTTCTACCAGATAACCTTCCCCTTTGAAGTTTTTCATATAGTTCATACAAAAGAAAGTATTTTCAGAAGTATATCCGAGCACTATCCTACTTGAGTGTCTAGAGCAGAATGCAGTTTAAGCATCAAATTTACCTGAAATCATTCGATTAAATCTAATTATGTCGCCTCACCATAGTTTTCCCTAAAATCCTATGCAAGGTCAAACCAAACAGCTCAAAATCAGTGTGAATTTCTCACTAATATTTAGCAAAGGTAGTGACAGTCAGCAGCTAAAGTCTATGTGAACAGAAGTGGTACACTAATCTCTTATTTCTTTTGTGGTGATTATCATTTTTCTTGACTTCCTTCCTTACACTTATATTCCTTGGATTATAACTGTTCCATTATTGTCATTATGTTATGACTTACTTTCCTACATTTATACGTGCTAATTCATATTCCATATTTAAAATTGGAAGTTTCATTTCTGATATTTCTAAGATAGTTTTGGAAGCTTTCACCTCCGATTAATCTGACACTTTTACCATAACTACAATTACTACCCAATCTCCTTCGAATTCCAGAATTAATCAACTGTTTCTTAATAGAACATTCATTTCTTGATGAAATAATATTAACCATCTGTTATTATTATTATTTTTCCCTTGGGTTCCTAGTGGAACAAAGGACTTCAGTAGCACGCCTCCATTCCACTCTCTTCTCTCCACTCTTTGCAACCTGGTTCCACCACTGCCCACAAGCTCTCATTTTGACCTCAAATGACCTCCTCCATATCAACCTCGGCTAGGATGCCCAACTCGTCGTTTCCCATCTGGATTCCACTCGACGACTTGGCCTGGAGCGTGATGTCCTCAATCGGCCTTCTCATTGTATGCCCAGTCCAATCAATCTCCACCTTCTTCCTCTGCATATTTGTTGGGCGATGGGTTCAAGGTTGGTTCGTTGCCAGCAAGCCAGAGTTCCTTGTTGCTTATTCCTACTATTCTGGCCTTCTCATTTGATCTGATCTTCAGTATCGAGTGAGCGTAGACGGCAACTGTTGATGAATATCTGTAGTTTGTTGGAAATGCTTTTCGTGACGCGCCAAGTCTCAACCATCACATAGAATCACTGACTTACTTCACTGAATTAATGTTGAAAATCCAGATCTTGTTCACGCTTTGTGCTGAGTGGACTGCAGTAGATCTCTACACCAATTTCAAATTACTGAAAACCTGTCTTGCTGTATTTGCGATCCTGACTGCTTTGACATCCTCATCTGTGCCTATGTTGCCGCCTGTAGTTGAAACGATGCTGACTGCTAACGTGGGTGGGTTAAAGGGACAACTTCCTTTAGGTTTCTCCCGTTGATGGTGATCCGAGCTTGTTGTTGCTGTTGTTCGTTGGGTATTTTCATCACTTCCATCTTCTCTACATTCAGTTGAATTCCCATTTTCACTGCCTCGCCTATTCTGTCAACTTGTTAGTTTTCACCTGTAGATCTTCAAGATTAACCATTTAGTCAGTAATAAACCTGTTTGTTTTAAGTATATGAAAGACTGTACAGCTATTGCAAATGATTAGTTTAAAAGAGATTTTCCTCTCTGAATCGCCTTTTATAAAAGGTGGATAATTCTTAATGGTAATAATAAGGTGCTATTTTGTGCACAAAATATTTTTATTACTTTCTTTGACACGAATTTACAGATTCGCTTTTTCTAATACAAACAACAGTCAATGTTCACCTCAGTAGGCAGTCTTTGATCACCTATTGAAAAAGCATAAATATCCTCGCCAGTAATAACAGCAATAAGAATAACAATGATAAGAATAATGACTAATTTAATAGTAGTCTTGATTCAAAATGTTTTCGACACTAGTCTAATATTATTACTAATATCATTTAAATCTGGATTCAATGTTTCAAAATTTGATTTGTTCTCACTATTGTAACTATTGTGATTGGGGTCTTCTTTATTATTGTTATTGTCATTGCTATTACTATTGTTTGCAATATCAATATCTGTAATATTGAACTGTTCAGGATCCATACCACCGTAACAGATTGTACCAACTTCCAAAGATAACTCTGAATCGTATAAGCCATTCGTTAATATTCTGATATCTCGGATAGGCAGTAAAGTTGGTTGTTTTGTGCGCAAAGTAAGAAGAAGACTACCGCTTTGCTGATGCTATTATAAGAATAGGTAAAATAAATAAGTATGAGCTCTTTTTATTCATATATATATATATATATATATATATATATATATATATATATAAAATCAATATCAGCATAGGACCAGGCATTACTGCGTAACGGTCCGAGTTGCCACACCTCATATCAGTACACTAAGTACAAAGGTAGTGAGGTGAAAGATGAAGATAAGAAAATTCGGTCAAAAGAAATATAAAGTACGAAAAGAGAGAAACGAAGAATGATGAAATGGTGAGATTCATTAAAGAATTAAGATAAGGATAATGTGTGTATACATCTGCGCCACTGACCGGTTCTGAGCCATATCACCTAGGGTCTCCAACCACTGATTCCTCTTGTTCCGCGGACCCCAACCTCCAAGTCTTCATAGCCCTACATGGCTCAAACCAACAGTCAGAGACTTCATGCATTAGTGCCATGTTTTAATCTGGCCACCTTGGGCCCTTTTCCACCCTGGACCTACTTTGGCCAACATTGTGTGACGAGGCAATCGGTGGCTAGGCATACGTAGTACGTGTGCCAACCACCTCAACTGATGAAGGTTCATAACCTCGTCAACTGATTTACCTCTACTCCCTAAAGCTCTATAACTGACTTTGGCATTACTTACGTGGTGATACCACGGAATACGGCCTATAGTACGAAGGCAACGGTGGTCAAACACGACCGATAGCTGCTACCTTGACGTGGTGGTCAGGTTTGCATATCACAGTGACCCAACAAGCTATGCTGGTGGAACGCTTGTTCCTCCGAGGTCCTACCATACCAGAAAGGTCTGTTGGGTAATGGTAAGACGAAAAGCAGTTACTGTTGTAGTGTGAATTGCTACACTATGATGGGGGTCTGAGGGCGAAGTCGTGCTGTTGCCAGCTGGATGGGGTGTGACAACAGTAAGGTGTTTCCCTTGGATGACCAGCAGTGCCATGTTGATGCTGCCTTCCCGGTGGAACGAAGGGGGGGTAGAAAAGGTCGGCCCCAAAAATAACACACTCCACCATACCCCACGGTTTGCCGGGCCGGCGGTGTTGGTTCATTTGTCGTTTCCTTTCGACCATCCGGCCCCAAATATATATATATATATATATATATATATACAGGATACGTGTAATATCTGTACTTTAGTAATATTCAATCCAAACTGTCACAACACAAAAGGCTTTGAAAAAGTGTCAGAAAAACGTATGCCAGCTGTATTAAATTATGAGTGGAACAGCCCTAGACTATTTAGATATTCTGTTTTAAAACCAGAATAAAGAGGGAATATATCTTGGTTGGTGAAATGGTTTTTAAGCTATAGAAAAAAGAAGGAAGGGGATAAAAAGGATTAAAAGCTTTTATGATGAAATTGTCTTCGCTGTATATTCATAAAAATATTGTGGAAAGACGAAAAACACTCACGAACAATTTCATTTTAAGGGTCAAAATGCCCCAGATGATGATAGGAAAGTTGCGTAAAATGTATGAAGAGATATATAATAAGAAAATAAACAAATATAATTAAATCACAAAATTATCGTAAATGATCAATCATTTACGATGGCTATAATGAAGAAAGTGGTTGTTCTTTTTATTGAATGATGGTTTAGACTTTTGAATTGTTAATGTTTCAGTCATATCCAGATGGCTGATTTTTACTCCTTTCGAATGGGATTTTCGAGAAAATTTTCAAGTTTACTGATTTTATCAGGTGTTCTATTGCAGAGCTGAAGATGCATTTCTCTTCTCCTAGACAGTCTTACAAAATCACTATAATAGTATTTATCATTGAATATTCAGTCAGTGACAACTCTGATTATCAATATCTGACAAAAAAAAAATCCATCTTCTCACAGCAAACCGTGAGGAGCAAGAAGATGGGAATACATTGACTGGACCGATGAAAAGAGCCTAGAAGATTTGGATTTCGCCGATGATTTATGTTTAATGTCCCACAAACTCGAAGATCTACAGGTGAAAACTAACAAGTTGACAGAACAGGCGAGGCAGTGAAAATGGGAATTCAACTGAATGTAGAGAAGATGGAGGTGATGAAAATACCCAACGAACAACAGCAACAACAAGCTCGGATCACCATCAACGGGAGAAACCTAAAGGAAGTTGTCCCTTTAACCCACCCACGTTAGCAGTCAGCATCGTTTCAACTACAGGCGGCAACATAGGCACAGATGAGGATGTCAAAGCAGTCAGGATCGCAAATACAGCAAGACAGGTTTTCAGTAATTTGAAATTGGTGTAGAGATCTACTGCAGTCCACTCAGCACAAAGCGTGAACAAGATCTGGATTTTCAACATTAATTCAGTGAAGTAAGTCAGTGATTCTATGTGATGGTTGAGACTTGGCGCGTCACGAAAAGCATTTCCAACAAACTACAGATATTCATCAACAGTTGCCGTCTACGCTCACTCGATACTGAAGATCAGATCAAATGAGAAGGCCAGAATAGTAGGAATAAGCAACAAGGAACTCTGGCTTGCTGGCAACGAACCAACCTTGAACCCATCGCCCAACAAATATGCAGAGGAAGAAGGTGGAGATTGATTGGACTGGGCATACAATGAGAAGGCCGATTGAGGACATCACGCTCCAGGCCAAGTCGTCGAGTGGAATCCAGATGGGAGACGACGAGTTGGGAATCCTAGCCGAGGTTGATATGGAGGAGGTCATTTGAGGTCAAAATGAGAGCTTGTGGGCAGCGTTGAACAACTCCTGTACTCATGATCAGTTACAAGTTCTCAGTACCACAACAAAGAAAGTCATCAGTTAGTCATTCAGTCTTGGAGAAGAACGAGAAAGTCTTATCATAGATAAACTCATATACATCATCGATGCATTAAACCAATGGATTTTGTGATCGACATTATATGAAGAACTTTAGGATACATCTAGAAGGTGTTGGGGACTAATGAAATAAATTGATTGACATAGCTCAAAGTTAGTTGCGACAGCTTACATGCATGCATGCTTTAATGGCTGCTAATCCCTCCCCCACCTTATTTTTGTTTTAATTTACTACAGTAATTGTTATTTGGTATTTTCATCTACTCTGGTTATATTTTGAAGTGAAGCAGTCTAAATACGCTACTGTACGTAATCCGACACCATTATAACTAGTCATTCCTGTGGGTCAGTAATTATTCCAGATGAATGTAATGCAGGACTATGTATATGTGTGATGGGAATAATAGTTGCCACCACTAAGGAAGGATATGTGATGAATGACATGACTCTAACTTAAAAAAAATAAATACATATCAACTTTTATGAAAGTTACTTCAACACGTTAAAACTTTTATTGCTAACCATGGCAGGTCATTGGGTTTTTGAAATACAGCACGATTTGTTTACACTAATATACAGATATATCTTAATGTATTTTATTTTCTCTACTTCACACTATTAATTCAGTTGCTAGTTGCTTTGATAATAACACACAAGTGTATTCTTATACTTTCTAAATGATTAGCATTCATTTAGTTTTATTCTTTTCTATCCCGAATATATATGTATTCATAGGCTTATTAAGGCCCGTTCACAGTACAGTACCTCATTTTTGAATAATTGAAAGTTTCATAACTTCCTTTCAGTATAAAAGATGATGATTGAAGATGATAAGAAACTTGAGTCGCTGTAATTTTAATCACCCTCCTCTAGACTAATGACCCTGCATTCTACTGACTGAGGAACTTATCTGAACTATCGACAAGCTAGTGTGATGACTATGATCATGCTAATAAAGAAGCAGCTACACATCAATATTTCACAAGACGAGTAGAATATACTATCACTGACTAATCAATTTACTAAATCAAAGTTGCCCACGACAGTTTAAACAACTTTTTTGTTATTAAGTCCCATTCAGTATATGTACTCCAGTGACCTTGTAGACCTTGTTGGAAAATAACTATCCATCAACATTTATCAGGCAGAACAAAATCAGTAGAGCGTCAAAACTAGAACTGCAGTCAGTCCCAAAGAAGGATGTCTTCATCAGCCTTCCGTACAAAGGTGACTCTCAGAGTGCAATCCTTAAGCAGAGACTCAACGCTGCTGTTAGAAGGACTTATTATGCAGCCAGGGTTCGAGTAATCGAAACCACGAAGCCCTTATATTCCCCCAAACCCCTACAGCATGTGAACGATAATGTCACATCCCTTTGTATCTACCAATTCAAATGTATGTGTGGTGACACATACATAGGGAGGACTAATAGATCCATGCAAGTAAGGGCCTCGGAACATATTCCAAAGTGGCTTCAGAAGCAAATCAAATCACCTGAACCTATAAATGTTGGTAGCAAACGTCCAAGTTCTTCGATCGCTAAACATATCGTTGAGACAGGTCACAAGATTGATGTGGCTACTTCCTTTACACCTATCTACAAAACATGTTGGGGAGGGATCCTGAAATTTGTTGAAGCCTTAGCTATTAGGAAGTTTAAACCACCTTTATGTATTCATAAACAATTTGTTGTCACATTAAACCTTCCTTGGTAAATTCAACTATTGAAAAACCAAGTTCGATGTACTATTTTTTTTTCGCCCTATTGATTTTCATTGTTATTCGGCCTTTAAGTCAGCCTTCCTACCTGACCCCCTTTTTATTTTCTCACCCCTTATCTTCATGAGTTTTTATATAAATACCTATGACAAGTACGTGTGTGATCAGATAGTTCGAAATGTGTTGCGCAAATACATTACACGGTTCAGACAATTTACGTCTTCTTATTGTTTTGTCGAACTTGTAGATAACGTTTTAGTGTTTGAAGCAATGGGTACCAAGCTCAGTTGAAACAACCCAATTCACTGAGGTACAAGTATATCCAGCTGACAACTTTTAAATAGAGAGCTAAATCCTTGTCTTGGATTCTATTACTATCCAGCAAATAGAGTAAAATACACGTTCCATTTATTATTTTTGTTACCAGTGATGAGATTCACATAACATTCAAGATAAGCATATACCATAGTTTTTAG